AAGTAAGAAGCCTTTCAGCAGGACACCTTGTTGCTTTGTTGCCACAGAAGAGATGTTTGGACACACGTGTATGTGAACAACATATCTCCGTGGGCTTCCAAATACTGTCAGTAATTGTTCTAGTTTTTATGTCCATTTCCTGTTAAAAACAAACAGACAAATAAAAAAGTAATTTCTGTCATCCACTGTGTCTTTTTGTCTCCAAAATACTTTATTGTCATCCATTGTTTCTTTTAGATTACAAAATCTTCTTGGCTTTGATACATTCGTTATATGCATATTCTCCCAGCATGATGACACCTCTGATTATCACAGCAATGCAAACTTAGTGGTAAATACAGGTAGCTGGACTGATTCAATTTAGTTTTAGTTTGGTTTGGTTAATTCAATTTATTTTTCATGAGCATAAATCATATTCCTGGCCTATGACGATATTTGCCTGTAGTGGGAGAAACCCTGAAGAGCACTTCCTGACAGAGCAGTTCAGAATAAGCCAGTTGAACAAATTAGGTGTGAAGGAGAAAACATTTAGGAAGAGAGACAGATTGGGAGAACCCAGCAGATATAATACTTCGGCATCTATTTCACATGTTCTCTGACAGTTGCTATTTTAAACAATTATTACTTAAAAGCTGTTTTGTTGATGAGATTTTTATTCTAATTTATTATTTTCTCACTGAACAGTTCACTTAGAAGAAGCTGTGAAAATTATATATTTTGGTAATAGCGCACACAGGCACAACAGGACTAATTTGATAAAAGGAATTTTAGGAAACAATTATGGAGCAACTTGTGTATCACTAATCTTATATTCTTTAACATCTCAAAATAGAGGTGTATGATGGAGAGACCTGGTGAAGTCTTGAACATACATGTAGAATTGAAAATGTTGCATTACTGTAATTCAGTCAGGCAGAATAGCTCTACTACCATTACTATTCCAATGGTGGCTGATCATGAATAAATACTTTTATTTCTTTTAGTTCCATTTTATAAATGGCATAAAATAATACCAGGTAGACTTGATAAAACAATGATTATAATGGAACAGACTGCATTTTTATATTGCTTTTTTTTTTTTTTTTTTCTTTTTTTTTTTTAATTTTTACAATTACATCTCTGCTTAAAGATACGTGGTGTGGTATCGTGGTAAAGGCTGAAGTAACTGGGAGTGATGCCCAACTAGCCATGATAAGTCTGGTTGTGTTCAGGGTACTGAACAATCACAAATAGGCATTCACAAACTGTGTAATACACCTTTCTAGTGGGTTTACATGGCAAAGTTTTGGTACCAGAGGGCCATAAGGGCGGCTTCTGTGAGAAGAATCTAGAACCTGCCCCGTGGTAGGTAAGGGCTGTCCCCCTGCAGCCCATGGGTCCCCCATGGAGCAGATCTCCACGCTGCAGCCCCCCAGTGGGTGGAGGAGCCCCCGGTGGAGCAGGTGGATGTGGCCTGGAGGAGGCTGCGGCCCATGGAGAGCCCCCGCAGGAGCAGGCCCCGGGCCGCAGCTGCAGCCCGTGGAGAGGAGCCCCTGCAGGAGCAGGGGTCTGGGGGGAGCTGCCGCCCAGCCGTGGGGGACCTGCTCCTGGGGGATGGATGGATGGACCCCGTGGGATGGAGCCGTGTGGGAACAGCGCTTGAAGAGCTGCTGCCTGTGGACAGCTCATGCCAGATCAGTTCGGGAAGGACGGCATCCCCTGGGAGGGACCCCACATGAGCAGGGGCAGAGAGTGACCAAGAAGGAGTGGCAGAGACAAAGTGCCATAGACTGACCACAACCCCATTCCCCCGTTCCCCTGAGCTCCTCAGGGGGAAGAGGTGGAAGAGGGTGGGTGGGGAGAAGGCGTTTTTGGTTTCTTTCCTTTGTTTCTCACTTCTCTAGCTCGTTAGTAATAGGCAATAAATCTTGCTATCTCCCTATGCTGAGTCTGTTTTGCCTGTTACAGTAATTGTTGAGCAATCTCCCTGCCCTTTTCTCAAACCTTGAGCCCTTTGTGTTGAATTTTCTCCCCCTTTCTCTTTTAGGAGGGGGAGTGAGAGAGCAGCCGTGGTGGAACTCTGCTGCCCACCTGAGTAAAACCACTACAACCCTCAATCTAGTCGAGCTCCATGAACTACCATGGCCACACTTAAACAGTTTGGTTGCGTTCAGTGAGAACTACCATGGCTAGATTTAATGAGAAGTGCAATTTATTAAAGCAACAGGTACACAGGTTCTTCGGAGTGCCAGTGATACTGTCTGCAAAGCACATACAAATACCCAAATTATGAGTAATGCAGCCTGGCTATAAATGCATTAAAAGGTATAAAGTGACTCTACAGAGATTACTAAGTTTCCTGCAGAGGCATTTGTTATATATATTTATATATTACATATATATATATGTATATATATGATGTTCAAATCTTACCCAAAGGCATCCCAAGGTGGGGAGAAGTCAGAAGGTATCTTTCACAATGGCATCTTACCTTTCATCCTTTCTCTTGTAAGCCAATTTATATTATTTTCTATCTTTTAGGTGGAGCTTGAGTGATTCTAGTCATGCATATCTTGGTTACGATTGGTTCAAAAGTGTCTTGTTTTTGTTTAAAGGTATAGATTCAGAGAAATTCAGAGCGCATGTTCAGCGAGGGGTGATCACATCTTGGAGGCAGGTAGCCTTTGGGATCATTATATCATTATATAATGATTATATGTATATTATATATATTATAATGATTATATAATTATAATCATAATATATAATATATAACATTATATATCATGTTATAACTATTTATTATTGATTTATTTTCATTTATTATTATAATTATATGATTATAATATATAACACAATATGCAATATATAATATATATATTGTAGTTATAGTAATAAATGAGATAATGGCTCATTGTATGGACAAGCTGATGTAAATTGTATGGGGCATATTATCAGCTGGGGGAACACTACAGCCAAAACTTGTAGGCCTTTATAAGGTACAGCTGGTGCAGCTCAAATGATAGGCTCTTACTTCAAAAGTTCCTGAAGCTTGTAGCAAACTACAGTTTAGACTGATGATAAAAATTAAGCATTTAATTTTTTAATTAAGCATTTTCTTTCATTTTGCTAGTATTTTATAAAAATATAAACTGTATTAAAGGAACAGAACCCCAGATCTTCACAGACATTAAAGAAGCCACATGTCCTCCAGGTGAAACCTGTTACCACTCATCACACTGCAAAAGAAAGCATCAGCTGAAGAAATCAACCAAAAAAAAAAGACTGAAGTAAAAGTTTCCATAGAAAGCAATCTCCATCCCTATGTCAGTCATGCCACAAAGGTGCCAGGGATTCCAGCTGGCTTAGGCTAAAGCTCAGACTGTGGACATTATTTGAGTGTTTATGGCATGCTTTTGTACTGTGCCCTAGAGTGGTATTGACTTTTCCAAGCTGCCACAAAAGCCTGACATATTGGAGCCCTCTGCTGCTCATTTTTAGCAAATGGGAAATACTAGCACAATGTAACCGCTTACATGGGCAAGCACAGGAATTATTGCTGCATAAGATGAATAAAGAAAATGTATGAATTTTTCTGATGCTCTTACAGATTCTGTCCTAACACAATTCATGCATCTATGCAACATTTCTTTTCTGATTTAAAAGTTTTGATCTGATGCTGCCTTCAAGAGCATGGCCCTCTCTTTGATTTGATTATGCCCAAACATCAGGAAGCAGTTCTTCACTGCACAGCTGACTTGAGCACTGACACCTGAGATTGCCCAGAGGTTTTGGGGTCTCCCTCCTTGGACATCTTCAAAAGCTGCGGGGGGGCTAAAGCACTGCTCCCACACGGCTCCGTCCCACGGGGTCCATCCATCCATCCATCCCCCAGGAGCAAACTGCTCCAGCACGGGTCCCCCACGGGTGGGCGGCAGCTCCCCTCAGACCCCCTGCTCCTGCGGGGGCTTCTCTCCACGGGCTGCAGCTGCGGCCCGGGGCCTGCTCCTGCAGGGGCTCTCCATGGGCCGCAGCCTCCTCCAGGCCACATCCACCTGCTCCACCGGGGGCTCCTCTACCCATGGGGGGGCTGCAGCGTGGAGATCTGCTCCATGTGGGACCCATGGGCTGCAGGGGGACAGCCTGCTCCACCGGGGGCCTCTCCCTGCACAGCCTGCAGGGGAACTGCTGCTGCCTGCCTGCAGCACCTCCTGCCCTCCTGCTGCACTCACCTGGGGGGGCTGCAGGGCTGGTGCTCACTCCTCTCTTTCTCCCTGTGAAGCAGCTTTTTGTTGTTGTTATTTTTTTCCCCCTTTCCTAAATATGCTCTCACAGAGGCACAAACGACATAGTTTCTTGGCTTGGCTCTGGCCAGCAGTGGAGCCCTTATCTAACACAGGGCAGCTTCTAGATTCTTCTCACAGAAGCCACCCCTATGGCCCCCTGCTACCAAAACCTTGCCACGTAAACCCACCAGAGCAAGTCTTTCGGTGAAGACATTTTTCGTAATAACCAACTGAAACCTCCCCTGGTACAACTTCAGGTGTTTTGTTCTTGTCTTGTCACTTGGGGCTTGGGAGAAGAGAACCATCTCCACCTCTCTGAAGCCTCCTTTCAGCTTACTGTAGAGCACAGGAAGGTCTCGTTGAGCCTCCTTTTCTCCAGGCTGAACAACCCCAGCTCCCTCAGCTGCTCCTCACCAGACTTGTTCTCTAAACCCTTAACAAGCTTCAGAGCCCTTCTCCAGACACACTCCAGCACCTCGAGGTCTTCGCTGAACACAGTGCTCGAGGCGCGGCCTCACGAGAGCCAAGCACAGAGGGACAACCGCTTCCCTAGTCCTGAAAAAAAAGAAACTGAGATCTTTTAAATGGATTGATCTACTCTTCTTGAAATTTCCAGAGACAAACCACCAGTGAGAAAGGACCTTTGATTCACGTCACTAGGTAAAGACGCACGTTTTCCATTGTGAGTTTTTAATCAGACACCACCATAAACTCGCAAAAAAAATGTACTACAAAATTTTAAGCAAGAGCTTTATTTTAGCTTATAGGCTTGTTTGTATTAAAAACAATTACTTCAAAATCAAATTCACATAAAACTCAGCATGTAAATGAACAAACTCAAGTTATTATCAATCAAGATCTGTTTCTGAAAGAAAAGGAGTCTGAATTACATTTTAATAATCTTGTATGGCAACAGATAAAATTGGGATGGCAGTAGCATCTCAGAGTTCACAGGGTGAGTTAAAACGTCCCCAGCTCCAGTATATTTTTAAAACACCAGCTGCAGTTAAAACAGCAGCTCGTGCAGATAAATGATTGCTACGTTTCCCATTAACCCACTGAGCAATCATAAAAAAATAATCCCAGTTTCATCTGCTACTTCACAGGAGTGAATGCTCTTCAGTGTTGTTACAGGCACTGCTCTTTTTCCAGCAAGCAATGTACTTGTCCTAAAACATTTTCCTTACAACATTAAAATACAGATTTTCTGAAGACACTCGAAAATCAAGCTCAGCAAGCTACATTATATACACTTTAAATGTACAATTACCATTAAAAATGTCTGTGTACAAAAAGAGGGTTTTTAATTAAAAAAAAAAGAAACTCCACATGCTAAACTTCAATTACATCAACATTTCAAGAGAACTGACCATAATTAAAAATAGCATCATTCTGATTTGTTAATAACCTTCCCACAAGCAACTGCAAATGTACCTGCAATTCCTTCTCTACTACACATTTAAGATTCTAATAAGCTTTGAGAGAATTTGTGCTATAAACCTCACTTATGAAGTATGTGAAAAGTTATCAGTTGTGAAGACAGAATAGTAGTTCTAGTTAATCAATACAAGATTATTTCAGTAAAATATAAAATTATTCTACTTAAGAAATACTGAAATGGCATCTGATTTACAGCCAGTTAGACAAAGAACACAGCTAATGACTAGAACACATACATCAGTTAAAAAGTCAAATATATACAAAAATATATTAGGAAGTGGTCAAGTTAAACCACAGGCTCATGTAAAAAACGTTTTAAATAGCAGTAGCAAAAAATAGCTATTTTCTCTATCTGCAACAGTACAAAAGGCAAAACCTACATATGAGGTAGCAATGCCAAATTCAAAAAAAAAACAACTTTGGAATGAGGAGCACTTCCTACATTTTCATAGCATATCTGTCATGAACACTTCAATTGTTTTGAGAATTAATACATTAATTTACAAAAATCTTTATTAAATGAACTTTTTTTTAATGGCTGGAAATTGATTTAGTTAAAAAATGTCTCCTGCTCCTAAAAAGGTTATCACATTTTCAAATCCAAACACTGTACAGCAAAAACGTGGAAGCTTTATTATACACACTCAGTAAATGCTATGGTACATTAAGACATATTTTACAAAGATTGGAATAAGCCAACTGTGGTCATTTTACTCTTTTCAATCATGCATCATTGCAACTTTTGCTACCCCTGTGTTTGTTTCTAGATGCAGGATTAGGATTCGCTACTCACTTCTTCAGCTCCATTTGCAGCTGAAGTGAGCGCTTGTATCATCTACCTTCAGGAATCTGAGCCAGAAGTGTGGCGTCCCTCTAGACGGGGCCAGGGGCAGCACAGAGTCCCTCTTGGCCCCTGTTGAAGTTGCCTCAGGAATAACGAGGAAGCATTTGTGCCCTCCTCCTCATTCTGTTCATTCATCCCTTCTACAGCCACTGGTCAGAAGGGGGCACCTGAACCTTCCTGACCAAAAATCCCACTAACAAAAAAGCTAGAAGGGGGAGGAATCTTGCAGGGGCTGAATTTTCCACCTGTGGCTACACTGACCAAAAAGCATTGCCTGCTCCTCCAATTCAGGCAAGTAAGTCAGACATCTGAAGTTAGATGGTACAAGTAACACCAAAAAATTATCTGGGTGGAACTTCCATATTTATTGTATTAAGAAAATAATATACTTTACATCACAGTGCTTAATTAACGTAATAAAAAAATGTGTAAACTCAGGATTCTAAATAAAATTTAACTTGAAAAATTAGGGCTCCAAGACTTTTTAAAATTCACAATTTTTTTTTTTAAATTGAGGTCACAGACAGTCAGTTCACATAACTCACGTATTTAGGATTACTTGCAAATACTCATTGATGCACTCAATTGTTTGGTCACTTTTTTTTTTTTTAAAGCCTAAATAAATTGACCAAGTGCAAAGGTAAGAGGTATATTTTTATTTGCAAAGAAACTTTAGAAGTAATTTGCAAAACAGGTATCTGGAGCGCTCTAGTAAATGTAAGGAAATATGCGGTATGGTACGCGCCGACAATACCTTTCCCATGCCAAGCCATACTTTTTCTTACAATGATGTTCATCACGAGCTTCCCGATGAACAAGCAAGCAGATGAAATAAATCACATAGAAATATGGCAAAATGTGATTAAAACCTGCAGAAAAAAAAATGTGAGGAACATCATTTTTAATACATTAAAAATACCAAAAATTTTAGTTATTAACGTGTTGACATAAACTCATTACAAACTGAAGCACCTTTTACTCATTGTAGAGTATCAAACATTCATCGGGATGGTACAAATATTGTGACATATTTGCACACAAATGCGCCCCTCCCCAAGTAATAATCCTTAAAATTCATAGTCTTAAAATCCACCAACTTCTCTCTCAATGTCTGTAAAGCTGTCCAATATCTAAGTTCTTTAGCTATCAAACACACGAATAGTTAAGCTTCTGCAGCACAGGGCTGCCACATACGAGCTCCCCAGGGTTTTCTCTGTTTTGGAGGTAAATAGTAAACTCTACCTTTGCTCAGAGCACACTAAACTTCCCTCCCACTTCCCCCAAGCAGTTACTGGCAGAGAACTCAAGTCCATCATTTTTGTGTAGGAATCCTCTTCCAAGATACAGTCTGCAAGTGTATATGCTAACCAGTATTGCCTAATTTCAATTAAAGTCCAAAATGTCTGGAGGTACACTTCAACTCCAGCAGCCTGTCCTTGCTGATGCTCCTGGTCAAGGCCCTAACCACTTGGTCAAAGACCCACTCTTTTGTAACTCTGTATGTCTTACAGCCTGCAAAAATCCAATTGTGCCACGAGGTGGAGTAGGTCTGCCTCAGACGACCTGCCACGCTCTTTTTTGTGTTTTGATTTATGTGTTTTATACACATATGTGTTTGTATTTATTTATTTATTATTGCCTTCAGGCAAGTGAGGAGCCCAAAGCCATTTTTCTAACTTGAATGAACTTTGCAACTTTTTAGAAACTCTGCATGGAAACACTATAGCACAGCTAGTAGCCTTAAAACGAAAAAAGTAAGAATTTATTAGCAAACAAACCCCAGCATTATTGAATGACCAAGTGTCAGAACTAATTGTCAAATCTATATTAAGATATAAAGGAGAAGATTTAAGAGAAAATAGGTGTCATATCAACCTTGCAACACGTAAAACTGCCATTCACTTAATTCCAGCTTTTATCATCTCATAATTATCACTTTGCATTTCAAAACCAGTCAGATGCCAAAACAATTTAAATAAAATCCACTTTCATTTTAGGAACTTACCACAGGGTAGGGACCATGCTAATGCCATGATGATGTCACCGAGATAATTAGGGTGACGGACAAAGCCCCACCAACCTGTAACAAGAAGCCCTTTTCCAGTTGCAGTGGGTATGAATTTCAGATCTGTGAAGAGAGTATTGTAGTCAATACAACAACTGAAACATGCACATCAATATTCCAAAAGAGACACTGTAAAGCAATTGATCAAAAAAATGCACTTACAGGCCAATTTGGGATCTGCTGGATTCCTTCGGAAACTATTTTTCTGAGAATTTGCACTACGGAATATGTAATACCCAATACCTGAAAAAAAAAAAATTATTTTGCTTATTCTGTGTTTTCTGTTTCCTGACCTTCAAAAGCATTCATATGCCTTCTGTCCGTCTTATTACATTGAAATCAGTTATGTCTCTGAGGAAAAGACATTCTCCAGTTCTCAGAGCTTTGGCAAGGCAGAAATGCTACTGCAAAACTGTGTTCTGTATGCTTTCACAAGTTAATGATCAACTTCTAAGATTTAGCAGGAGCTGTATTTTTGCATCAAGCTTTAGATTTATATCTGAAGAGGATCACACACATTAAATGTATGCCTTTGCTAAATGTTTCAATTTTGTCAAGCTCACAATTAACTTTTTATTTCAAGTTCACTACTTAGATAAAAGGAACAAACTAGAAGGCCACACTGGTGCAAATCTAAGGTCCCCTGAAGACACGAGATCCATTCTCAAGTTCTCAGCTGGAAGATTATTTCCACTGAGATGTGTGGAAATAATGCCTATTCCTATGGGCATTGGGGAAGGAGATAAAAATTAACAAAAACAAACAGCAAAACCTCTTTTCCCCTAGCTTCAATAAACTGTAGCCAACAGGGTTTTTTTTGTTGTTTTTAGAAGAAACACTCAAAGTAGGAAGCAATACTTTTCCAGATGTGATTTTAAAACGCAACTGCAACACTCTATTCTACGCTTTTTAATTTGTAACTCTGTCTAGACTGTATCCATCTAAAAATGTTTCTCAACCGAACAAGATAGGTGTCCAGATTCTCCTTTATCCTTCCTTTAATAATATCATATCACATTCTTTGTTTTAAACAATAGCCAAACACATGCGTCCTCCAACTGTGCTTAACAGAGAAAATATGATTACTGCATCCCAGTGGAAGCTCCCCCACCTTACAACTCAAATTAACAGTTAGTACTACATTGTCACTATCAGTAACGTTAACATCTACTATAACTTACCATTCAGAATAATAATTGCAGCAGCAGCAGGCCAAGAAATTGCAGTAGGATGTCCAACTAAATAGAAGGCCTGCAGACTGTAGACAAATGGAACCCATACCAAATCTCCAAATGCAAGCATGAATCCAAATCCATCATGGGTAATATCCATTGTAGTCAGAACAGCTTCCTAGAAACATGGAAGATGCAATTTAGAATTCACCAAGCCTCATTATGTAAACACTACAATTAGAAACAGTTTCAGTTTAATACAGGGTTGAAGGTTTATTTACCTCATTCCAAAGAGCATCTACCACATAAAGAAGCTGAAAGCTGTTCACGAGTATCATTGACAGAGATGGCATACTCTGATTATGTATCTTCATCTCAGCCAAGAGCATCACCAAGTTTATAACAACCTAGTTAAAAAAAATATTTTATTACAAGTTTTCCTTGTAAAAGTGTTTTTTCTATCATACTATAGTACATTTTAATACAGATGGTTTTGACTGATACGTAAATTTAGAAAAAAAAAGGAAAAATCCATTCAGACAACAGTTTGTAACTAACCAATTTTCTGAAGCAGTAGCTTCAGCATATGAGTACTTTAAAAAGCTGCTTTCATTTTTCACAAAGCGAAGATGCATAGGAGTTGTCTAAAGTAAATAAAAATGGTCATTACAAATTTATCAACAGAAAACCATATAAGTATTTTTCCTGTTTTTAAGTAAATATCGTATTCTTAGCATCTATCATGGAAAAAAGTCACGAAGTAGCTCAGATTACTGACTCACCCAGCCAATTAATCCTGGACGCAACTCACAGAAGTATTTGAGGTCAAAACTCCCAATACGAGGGTTCAATTCATGTCCAGTAAAGAAGTCATAAACAAGATACCCTGCAGATGAGACACGCTCCTTGTTAGAAATATCAGTCCTTTTATCCATCACTATATTCCCTATAAGGCACTTGCTACTCTATACTAAAAGTACTGTCATTATAAATAAAAAAGCAACATTTTGGCAAAAAATATTTGAGAGTATATGCAAAGTATGAAGCAATGGTTTGTATTTTAAGAGATGCAGGTATCTTATTTATTAGAAGGGCTAAACGCTTCAGAAGTTACTGTAGTCTTATCTCTTTGACTTTATTCCCTGTTTTCAGCCTTATCCTGAAGATCATCCATGTTGATCTTAATACCAAGTTATTCCACTTTTCTTCCTACTTCTTTACTCTTCTCTGCGAATAATTCCTTTAGCCATGACAACAACCCGCGTTATCAAGAGAAGGACAAGGAAAATATTACCTGAACTTCTAGACACCCTGCACTGAGTTAACAGCTAACAACCACTGTTACTTCTAGTTCTGTACCTGACTTCCCACTGCCAGAATGTCTTAATGTCTTAACTGAAATGTCTTTTCAGTTTTTCCTTCCAGTCGTTTCTGGAAAAGTCCCACCAACTGGGGTACTATGAAGATAACTATATAAGCCTCTTCACAAATACAGAAAAATCAAAAAACAAAATCAAAACTCTTTTCTCTAAGTACAGGACTAGACCAGCCAAGACATTTTGAAGTGTACCAGTTTGGGTGGATATAGTGTGCCAGTTTTGGCTGGGATATAATTAATTTTCTTTAAAGTAACTTCTATGGTGCCAAGTTTTGGATTTGTGACCAAAACAATGTTGATAACACATTTTAGCTATTGTTGAATAATGCTAATATGGCATCTAGGTTTCTTTTATTTTTTCACTCTGCCCCTCCCCGCACATAGGTTGGGTGCAGAGAAGAGTCTGGGAGGGAACAAAGCTGGGGACAGGTGACCCAAACTGACCAAAGCAATATTCCATATAATGCAACATCATGCTCAGAAAAATTAAAGGGGAAAAAGGGGGGTAGGAGGAGTATGGGGGACTTGCCAGAGGTTGCCATTACTCGCCATTACTCAGGGACTGGCTCAGCATCAGTTGGCTGGTGGCAAGCAATTGCTTTTTGCCTTTTCCCCCCCCCCCCCCCCCTTTTTTTTTTTTTCTTCTCCCTCTTTTACTTGTCTTTATCTCAGGCCCATGAGTTTTTTCCACTTTTGCCCTTCTGATTCTCTTCCCCACACAAACAGGGAGAGTGAGCAAATGCATGCATGGTAGTTAGCTTCTTGCTGGGGTTTACCCATAACAGTAACTTGTGCAAGATAATCCAACAAAAAAATTTAAGTGTTTTACAGTATCTGCATATGAACAAAAATGCCAACTTGCAACATTAACACTGCATTTGGAAAAAGAAAGAGTCAGTACTACAATAACCTGCCTTAAATCTAACCTTTAATTCATAAATACAAAACAGTAGCAAATAACTGTAGGGAAATTATCCAAAATATTAACTCACCAGAATTTCCACCTGGTGCTAGGTCTTCCTCAGGTGCTTTCAGGGACCGGATATACAGATAAATGCTCAATCCCATAGAAAAAACTGCAGCTGATACTGCGAACTGCAGGAAGTGTTCGTACAAATAATGAAGTTCGAATTGAAAATATAATAATATTCCAATAATTGCAGCAGTCAAAACAAAAGCATAAAACCCTAAAGGATGTAGAAGAAAACCATATTAGCAAAAATTAAAAAAAAAAGTTAAGTCATTCTTAGAATCTACCCAGTCCTGTCTGCATATTTACTTCTGAGATTTAAGTGTTTACCAGTATTGTAGCCCTATTCCGTCTTAAAGTGAGATTTAAAAATGGTGCATCTTACAAGACTATGACAAAACACCACTGAACTTATTAATGTAATACTTTAATTCTTTTACCAACAGGCAGTGTCTTTGAACTGACTATCAATCAAATAGGTGGTCTGGAATACCTGGTGAGGCATCAAACTACACTTTCCTCTTTAAGCCAGGAAAAGCAGGACTGCTCAAGGGTCCATACTCTAACCTTAGGTGAGAAACTTGCCTGATAAATAGGAAGTGAAATCATAGCTGAATAAAGACTCAGAACTGTTCTTTGATCTCGGATGTTCTTCTTGCCTGTCAACTACAACATACTTTTTACTAGTCTGTAAATCAGACATCCAAAAAGATGACCTAAGAAACATGGGATAACATTTCTTCAGATCATTCCTGAACATCTCCTTTCAAGTAACAGTCATTGTTACACAAGCATTCTTAACAATCCAATAGGTAACTGCCTATTTAGCAATTAAGTAATGAATATGACAAGTGTCACCAAGCACAGCTGGATGGTAAACCATATGCTCTGCATAATCTTATGCCTTGCTCTTGTGGCAGTTAGTTCCTTCATTACTAACCATCCTGCTCCACGAAGAGCCTCATGTTTCATGATAAATTTACAACAGATACCTAGTTTAACTATTGAGTGCATCTTTCTTCATTTGTTATCATTAATTTGTGGTACTGAGTACTACAAATCAGGTAGGGGGTTCAAATTTCAGAACGAGCACATCTTACCATTTATCCTGTACTGCAGTTTTGTTCCATTTGAAAGAGGTAGGCCTTCCACAACCTAGGAAGGACAAAACAATAATGTTTCAACAAAATACTTTGAGAGCACTGGAAAGGGAAGGACAATCACGGACATCTCCATCATCACCACCACAAATCAAGTTAACTAGCTGGATGTATTCAAATCTCAAGACCATGCACTGCTTTTAAAAGCACACTTTGGATATCAAAAGAAAAAGGGTACCAGTTTCAAATAAAAAAAATCTTATTCCTAGCATCAAGAAAACAGAGCAGCAGCTCCACTCATTTTTAACAGGTGTACCAACAGAACAATTTGACAGACTGATCTATTTATTCTAGTATTCTTTCAGAACCTGGCAATATCCCTTAAGTCACAAGAAGACTGTAATAGACCATTTGCCTGATTAATATGGCTAGAATAGTTAATATGATCTTCCATGCTTTAGAAAGTAATCTTAATTTCTGGGAAGTTTTTTTCTACTGGATATCAGTAACTGAAACTGGGTAAACAGTCTTCGGGTTTAAAAGTCAGATACCTGGAATTCTTCTAGAATTCTGCTACGTAAATTTTATCCATGCTTTGAATTGCTATGTTATGCTTTCTGCCTCTTCCACTATAGAACTTATGAAATGCATAGCCATTAATTTCCTAACAAACTGTGTTCTCTTAAGCTTACAGAAATCAGCAGTAGCTATCTGTCAGTTTAATATGAAAAATATATTAATTTGCTTTCAAAAATCACTGCATTATGAACATACCTCATCTTTCAGCCTAACTCACAAATCAACTATCCATAAAGACACAATTGCTACTGAATAGCTTACCTTTCCAATCGGCAGTAAGTAGAACAGAGCTTGAAGGAAAAACCACAGAAGAAAGACACCAAACACCCTAGCTTCCCAGAGACTTTCAAGTGCTGGCATAGGAGGAGGGAAGTTCATAAGGCTGGGGTCGTCTTGTTCACACATCAACAGCAAGTAGAATACAGTAGCAGGTAGGAAAAATATCAGCACGAAGGTTCCTGTAAACAGACATAACGCAATATTAGAAGATAAGCATGGGAAAATTAAAAAAAAACTACTTTCAATCCCACTAATAAAGCTTGATACTAACATCAGTAGCAAAGAAATCATCTATTCCTACAACAAGACAGCAGCAATCCCTCAGTCACATGATAGAGACATTCCTCTCACTCCCACAGGGGGTCACATAACCAACCCAAAGGATTGCATCCATTACATCCCTTTAAAACTGTCAAAACAACAACAAAAAAAGTATAAAGAATCACGAATCAAACTACCAGGTTTGAAGCACTTAGCTTTAAAAATGTAAAAAACTTTGCTAGTTACTTCCAATAAGATTTATAAAATACTCAAATCGCACTGTGCAGGATCAAGATCTCCACAACATTTCACTAGAGAACCATATGTTAGAGCACTTCTTTGACTTTTACCAAAATCACTCTAGACTGTCGCTGAAGCACTGTCATATGATTCTGGAGTCTGCAACTAGGGCCCAGAAACAGGAAAAACAGTCCTTCATAGGACAGTATGGTCAATAACTAAAAAATGTGACGTTCTACTATTACTAAAATTTGCACACATACCAAATCTTCCACCAAACTCCAGCTCTTTTGTTTTTGATGATACTTTCTCAGTAGTTTTTACCATCTCAAAAACCTTTTTCTCTGAATATATCTCTTCTTTTTTCTTTTCCTCTTCTCTTGGACGCAAGCTGTACTTATCAAGCACACGCTCTATTTCCAGGTCTGGTTTCAATTTTTGCTGATAACGCATGAATGAAAAGATTTTACTAAGATCATCTAGTTACTTTACCTTATTTTACTCAGGACATTATTCATTGTAACAGAACAATATACAATATATTCTACTTCTACACACTACTTAAACATACATTTTAAATTAAGAACCCACTAAACCCACTATCACTGCAATCATGTAAGCAAAATTAAATACTCAGTATCTGTTCCAGTATGGGTTATCCATTCCCACCCTCTTCCCTTCTGGTCTAACCATCAGTTATTCTGCTCCATGCATTAGCTAGCCACCAGGAATAAAGAACTGATTTGACTGAAAAATTCACTTTCTGTGGACAAACATTAAAACATAAGACAACGTTCTCTGCAGTTATACCTCCAAGATTTTGCTGGATGTGTCATTTCTCTCTGTGCTGTCAGGTTCACCATTGTACCTTCTGGTGTTGTTCTCACTTGGTTTCTGGTTAAAAGAAATATAATTTTAGCTTTCTGAAAATTTTATCTCCATTAAGTGCAAGTATAAAGTGAACAATTAAGGACACTAAGGATCTAGTTTGTTTCAACTGAAACTGCTCTGGTTTCCTCCACATGAAAACAAGCAGGTTCAACATCCTAAGCACAGACAGTTTCAGCTCACAAAGAAGGGAAGAAAAGCCATTTAAAAAAAGGAAAAGGTTGCTATGCTTTTTGCTTTTTTTAATTAAGAGTGGAATTAAGAGGTAACTTGGAAACACTATTTTTAATTCATCAGTAGGAAGTGCCAAGTACAAAATACATGCATATTTAGTAACATTATTAAAACAGAGGAAATTTTAGAGTCCTGTACATGGCAGTGCTATGCAGGAGTGTGAAAGTTGGGTTTTCTATTAAACAACCTTCTAAGAAATTCTCTTCAAAAAACACTCTAGTCTATACAACTGAAGGAAGACAACTCATTGTTGTGTTTTATTTTAACACAAGCTTTGTATAAAAGGACCAGGTCATTACAGTCATAAAAAAAAAAAAAAAAAAAACAGATCAATCCAACTTCTCAATTAAAATATCGTTGTCCTTATGGCTTTTAATCTTTTTGTCCAAAGTGTAACCGCTGGCTACAAGCTACTTAAAACGAACACATGGTCCATTTAATTTAAGGTGGTTTGGTTTAGTTTAAGCCCAACTAAAACTAAGATCTATTTTCAATAGCAAATAGCAAAATAATTTCCAGTTCTAGGGACCACATCTCAGACAGGTATTCATGTGAAGACATCTTAAGACTACATGGGGCGGAAGAAACACTGTTTACAGTACCACCAAATTCACACAGAAGATTTCAATGATTTCTTCACAACTTGGAAAGCTAGAAAGCCTATTTGCTAAGTAATAAGGCATTTCTATGATACATTTTTGCAGCTAATTACGTTGCTCAGGAAACATGAAGTACACCTGGCTCTGATAGTAATAAACCCAGTATGCATAAAAATATGTTTTTGGGGAAAAAAGTGATGCTGCAACCAAGAACAAACAAGCAAGCAAAACAATACCAGTAGAGCTAAATTGGTTTCCTGAATAATTTTCTTTTTGTCATCTTTACGTTCTCTGCTTTGGGAAGAAGAACGGCGTCTGCCTTTTGCTGGCCGACCAGGAGATCTAGATCGTGACCTGCTAGTACTTCTTCTGGAAGGAGAACTTGAAGAAGACTGGCTCTTCCTGGGCTTGAACGATGATTGGGACTAACAGAAAAAGGGGAAGAAAGCAAAATCTTGTCTTAGACACTCCAAAGAATAGCTTTCGAAGCATTATTTTTTTGTGAAGACGACTCTGGCATTTAGTTTCACAGAGCTATCTTTTTATTTTTTTAATAGATACTGTATGACAGTGTTAAGAAAGAGTAATTATAGCACACTCATTTTGCTGGTAATACCTAAATAATTCTGTCCAAAGTCCAACTGCTGACAATTCCTGTCAAAGCTACAGAAATCAGGACAATATAAATGTGAGCACCAAACTCATAAGCCTACTATTCACTTAAGCCTTTGTATATGACTTCTATTAAGGCTACTATTTCATTTACTTGGCTTTATTAATACATTTGCCATGTCAAGATGCAATGATCTGCATAATGCAACACAACTCAAATGTAAAAAAATTAAGTCAGCTAAAAATCATTATATTAGATATGAAAAGTGATTCCATAAGGTTTTCCCCACAAGTATACATTTTAATTTCTCAGTGGAGTCTGTAATTCTGATTTTGTCATGTAACATTTACACAATACAACTTTCATAAGACACAAACGCTTTACAACAAAGGAAGGTACTTTCTCAGTTAGAGTTAGCTAACCTGCAAACAAAGTAAACAAGTTAGAAACTCTTAAAGCAATGAACAACTTTTTCTAGCTCAAGCCCAAAAAGAAGCCAGTTGCTCACACACACTGCCAGTAAAAGGTAAAAGTATAGTTCACCTACATTAATATCAAGCCTCTAATTACTGGCTTTCTAAGGTACCTGAAAATAATTTTTATAAGCAATCTCTGTATTATAGAGTTCCTGAAGGACGTTTTTCACCCCAAAGGTATCACTGCTTTTACAACTTAAAGAAAATAATGATGCTTCTTTAAGACCATGGACAGTGTGCTGAACTTGAGATATCCCTTAATGAAGAACTATTGTTTAGCACCAATTCCTTGGAGACAGTTAATGAAAAATTTGCAAAACAACTATCCAATCAGAAGTTGTATTCTTATCTACATCACAAAAATCAATACAACCTTCCATTAGCAATACTGTTATTTCTATGAAGGCATACTCACCTTTATATCACTTTCTTTCAAAGCAAGTTCAGTCCCATCTTTGTACTTAACGGTATAAAGATGAGTAACATCATCATAATTAGTCACTTGTACTTCATAATACAGGACACTTCCTGGCCAACGACCCATCACCACCTCGCCATCAGCAAACCTTCGGTTCGGCATTTTCCAAATCCTAGAAAATAAGTAAGTTAATAGATATGACGTCCAAATATTAAGCTTATTTTTTTCCCCTACTGTCTACACATGATTTAGGCTGGAAGAGGGAAGCTTTAAAGTAAACAACTCTTCAGCTTAAATATGCAAAAAGCTTCCTGATTAAAAAAAAAAAGTGATGTATTTCCCAAATACTAGACAGAAGAAAAAGGTTTAAAATAGATCAAAGACTGTAGTTAGATGCTACGAAAAATGTTCCAAATGCATTAATAGTACATCTAGATAATTCTTCTACATAATCTCCATCAAAGACCACCAAAAGCAGGCTATATATTTGACCCAGTACATATATGTAGTTGATTCTATCTAGAGCGGGGAAAAAAAGTAAATGAGATGACATCTAAACATCCTCTAACCCTCCTTTTCTGTGGTTCTAAAAAATTACATACGCATTCATCCCTAAATGCGAAAATAACATGTTAGTATTTTAACCAGTCTATTCCATACACGTTACTTGCCCAGGTTGCCCAGAGAAGTTGTGGATGCCCCATCCCTGGAAGTTTTCAAGGCTGGTTCAATGGGGCTTTGGACAATCTGGTCCAGTGGAAGGTGCTCCTACCCACAGCAGGGGGGTTGGAATTAAGGGATCTTTATGGGGACCTTCTGACCCAAACCATTTTATGATTCTGTGATTAGCCGCATTACTTATGCTTTTCAATTTGTTACACCAAACATTCGAAAGCTAGGGAACACCTGAATTCTGGCTCCTATCTGGATTGAATGTTTTCTCTTTTCCACCTATTTCATCCCTGTCTGCACCATAAGGTTTTTACTTGATTTTAGCAGAATATGGCTTAACTGACTACTGCCCTTAGTCCCCTATGCTGGTGTACTGAGAAAACTATAACTTGAAATCATGCTTTTAAATATAAAGCCCTTTGAAATACTTTGAAAAGTTCCTGATATTAAGCTATTGCCATCTAAAAATAAGTAACTATACTAAAAGGTATTCTTATTACTTGAAATTCTGACTCAGGTCTCAACATTGAGTGAGGGTATCTTACTAATCTAGGGTAAAATACACATAAACTTACATGCTATCACTATGTGTATAATGAACTTTGGAACTTGAAATAGGAAAAAAAAATCAGCAAAAGTTTCTGTTTCAAAGCATTTTTTAAATCTTGTTTGCTATGTGAAGCCCCACAAAATGATTGGAAAACAAATATTGAACTAGATACTCATTCATTACACATTAACTAACCTGCAGCAAAAAATCAGGTTCTTTGGCAAACCATCATAACGCACTGGGGGTAGAGCTAAAGAAGGCTGTTCAGTCAGCTTTAATTTTGGCACTGCCTGATGTTCCTGCTGTTGGTACATTTTATACCTGTGTAGGTCTCCACATCAGAAAGAAAACAAGAACTCAGCAAAATTGCCTCATTTCCTGTTAATATCGTGATTTGCTTCAGAACAGAAATAGCTGACCATCCTCTTCGCTGTATAATATTTCAGGAAGTTAAGACAGTAAGTTTTATCAGTTAATTTCACTGCTGCTTGCCAATCAGTAAAACTGGCACCTCCACAAACTTAAGAGGTCTAGTCCATGTTTGTACTGCAGGCACAGGCTCTTCCAGCTCCTCTGTTTTCTACCAACAGTTTCTTGCCACAACCTCTTGTTACTTTCTTACGCTTTCTGAATTTCAATTCATTCAACCCTGTCTCTTTCCAGAGAGTTTAACCCCCTTAAACTGCATACCCTTGTTCCTTACGACTCTATGAAATACAATTTCTCTACTTTCATCTGAAATTCTTTTCATTCTCTCCTTGGTCCTACTTAATTCCCTGGGGGTTACTGCCTTTTCTGCCCTTGTTCACTGAACAAGTTGCACTTCCTCATCACCACATTTGGGCTCAAGATTAGATCTCAATGTCACATCTGTTTCTGCGTCCAGTTCTCTTAGCCACAAGCCAACTCTCTCTAACAGGTTTGTGTCTACTACAGCTCTTCCCCCAATCTCTTTCAGTGACAGCTTCCTCCTCCTCTTCCAAACGTAATCTAAGTTCTATTCCTCTATACCAAGTCCAGGCACGAATTTCACCAGATATCCTAACCTGATCTATGCCTTAAAATTGGTTCTTAAGATTTATAACAATCACTTAAAAATTAGATACATTTTTATAGGGATAATAAAATGCAACTCTCTGCCAAACTTCAAAGCTCAGCGTTCTAGTAGACAGACTGAAGATAAGGAAACCTTATTTAATTCTTTTTAAAAGGCAGTAAGACCTTTTCCTCCTCCAATCTTGCACTCAAATGGAGCTGAAGTTGGCTTTGAGAAGTTAGGAAATGTGGTTCAAGCAGAAGAGTCTAAAAAAAGTGTTATGTTATTCAGCCTGAGATAGATCACAGTGATACAAAATTCCAGACTAGTAAATTAATCTAAGCAAGTAAAAAGATTCTTTTCTGATTTGAAAGTAATGAAGAGTATTAATAATGGAAAGTTTGTTTCTTCCATTTTTTCTCTAAATATTAAAGCCTCATAATGATGCCAAACCTTAAACACTAAAAAAAAAAAAAAAGTATTACTTGTTACCCTGTCAGAAATTACCACCTCCTGCACCAGTGTACCCTGTGCAAGGGAGCTTTGCAATCCTCATTCCACATATCCCACTTCAAAAACCTGCATCATTTAAAGGCAACTTTCATCTTTTCAGATAACAAAAATCATTACTGGCATCGGAAAAAAAAAAAAAAAAGAGATAGGATGCCTTAAAAACAAAACAACAAAAAATCTTGCATTTTAGAAATTAATTTTGAATTTAGCACTCTTTCAAGCTCAAACACACGTTCCTGATAATTTTCAGTGTATCAGAAGGCATCAGCTTACTGTTCACTGTGGTCCTATGCAAACCTTTTATTTAACTCAAAGGGCTTCAAAAAAATATTTATATATATATTTTTTATAATATATATATATATAAATATTTTTTTGAAGCCCTTTGAGTTGAATAAAATAAATTATCGCCAAAGACAAATTATTTCATACAGCAAATGCTGCACTGGATAGGTACCTGAATGCAAGTAGCCTCAATGACTCCTAAGATGAAATTTGTGGGTTTTTTTTTTTTTTTTTGAATAATTATGAACTTTCTTAAGGAACTCGGCATCTAAGTAAATGGCTCAAAAGGATTTTGCATCCTCTGCCAAGTGAATTAATGCAGAAATGTCTGGAACCTAAATTTGGTCAAGAAGAAAATAACTACTGACTGAACCACGAACTAAACAGTTAGAGAAACATGTTGCCCCATGGATCTATTACTGGTCTTTCTTAATGACCCTCCCACTATATATGTAGAAAGGTATTTCAGTCAAGAAAATACGAATAGAAAGATGACTACAGCTTGTAGTCCCTAGGAGATCACACTACAGCAGGTGCTGTGTTTAGAGAAATTAAAAAAGAAAATAATAGCGGGGTTTCTTCTTGGAAGAAGTGTGGGAAGTTTATATATAGCCCGTGATTCTACACATTAATTGCGACACCTTAATGCTGGTGGATAACGCTTCGTATGTCAGAAGAGGGAAAGTCGCTGCTGAACTCAACAAAGCGACCGAACGGCTAAAAACCAGCCAACCGCGGCCTCGGAGCCGTGCTTTTCACCGCTGACAGCGGAGAGGGAAAGCGCCTGAACCCCGAGCGCCCTGGGGCGGCCGCGAGCCCCGGCGGCGCGCTGTTGACAGGAAGGCGCCCACACGCCGGAGGCGGCGGAGGCCCGGCCTCCAGGCCCCGCTGGGCGGCCCCGCCCGCACCGCCAGCCCGGGCCTGGCGCGGGGCCTCCGCCGCGGGGGAAGGGAGGGGAGGGCAGGGGAGGGGCCGCGCCGCGCCAGGCCGCCCCTCGGCGCCCCCCCACGAGGGAGGGGAGGCCCCGGGGGCCGAGCGGCGCGGCCCGAGCGCGGGGAGCCCTCCAGCAGCCTCCAAGCGGCGGAGCGGAGCGGAGCGGGCCCGGCCCGCCAGGCCTCCCCGCGGCCCTGACGCCGGCGCAGAGAGGCGGCGGCGGCGATTGGCCGGAGCGCTGCCCTCGGGCAGGCGGCGGAGGCGGGGGTGTGTCCGCGCCCCTCCGCTCCGCTCCCGGCGCCGCCGAGCCCTTACCTGGCTGCCGGCCGCAGCGGGCCGTGCGGGCCGTGCCTCCGCCGAGCAGCGCGACCGGGCCCCGAGCGCCGCGCTCCTCCTCAGCCGCGGCAGCGACGGTTAGGGCCGCGCAACGGTCCGGCCTCCGGCCACGCCCCCCTGCCCGGCGCCAAGCGCGCCGATTGGCTGGGCCGCGCGGTTTGAATCGCGGGGGGCGCCTCACCATTGGCTGCCGCGCGATGGCGCGGTGCGGGAAGGGGAGGGGTGGGGAGCGCGGCCTCCTCACGGCGGGCTGAGGCGGCGGAGGGGGGGGGGGGCGGAGCGGGCTCGCCTCAGGCCGCCTGCGCCGCACGGCCCCGCCGCCTCCCCGCCAGCACAAAGGCGGCCGCAGCGTGCCCGGGGCCGAGCCGTAGTGAAACAGAGAGGCACTCTTCAAAAAAAATAATAAATAAATAAATAATAAAATAAATAAAGTGCGGAGGGGGGAAGGGGGCGGCGCTCGTTTGCGCCGTCCTTTTGAGGCAATCTTTCTAGAAAGGTCACCGAAGGGGCTGGCGCGTTGTGAAATCAGGAAGTCTCAGCCCTGGTTTTGGGCACAAAGAGGTGGCGGAGGAGTTAACGAGTGCAACGGGTTTTAAAAGGATTGCTCCCAAGCGTTGGGATCTCGGGACAACATCAAGTCCTTTAATAACACCATACAAGCATGTTTGTACCGAGTTTATGGACCTCCTGAATTGTTTAAATTCTAGTGCAGGTTGACAAGTCATAGTCTAGGTTGAAAAATCCCAGGCACAGGCAGATCCCAAGAGGACAAGAGCACTGCTTTGCAATACAGGAGACTAGCAACGCTACACAAAAACAACAAAATTATCAGATTAAAGAACAACAACAACCAAAACAAAACCTAAAAACCCACACACCCATAACCATAAATAGGGCCCTTTGTAACCATAAACTAGTTTTAAACTGAGATTTCTCGCTTTTGTTTGTGAGTTAACTGCACTTTAAAAAAAAAAAAAAAAGAAGAAAAAAAAGTTCACTTTAAAAAAAAAAGGTTGTAGCTATTGTGTTTGAATTAGGAATATGACAAGTTTTTCATCTATATAAATGAATGCAAAAAGTGGGCCTTCATATATGAACTGTTAAAAAATTGTCTTACCACTTGTTCTGCCTAATTTGGCCTTGAACTTTTAAGTTTTCGTAGAATCATAGAATGTTCTGAATTGGAAGGAACCCACAAGGATCATTAAGTCCAACTGCTGACTCCATGCAGCACCACCAAAAAAATCCAACCATATGCCTGACAGCATTGCTTAAACACTTACTGAACTCTGTTAGGCTTGGTGCCATGACCACTGCCCTAGGGAGCCTGTTCCAGGGCTCAATCACCCTCTGGGTGAAGAACCTCTTCCTAACACCCAGCCTGACCCTCCCCTGTCCCAGCTCCGTGCTGTTCCCCCCAGTCCTGTTGCTGTCCCCAGAGAGCAGAGCTCAGCGCCTGCCACTTCACTCCCCCTCGTGAAGAAGCTGTAGGCCATGAGAAACTCCAGCTTCAGCACCATGAGAATGCCCCTCAGTCTTGTCTTCTCTAGGCCAAACAAACCAAGAAACTTCAGCCACTCCTCATACATCTTGCCCTCTACACCCTCCACCACATTTGTAGCCCTCCTTCGGACATTCTGTAATAGTTTTATGTCCTTCTTGTACTGCAGTGCTCCAGATTGCACACTAGTCAAGGCAAGGCTGCGCCAGCATGGTGCCGAGGCGCCAATCCCTTCCCTCAACAGACAAGCAATGCCATGCTTGATGCACCCCATGGTAGGGTTGGCCCTTTTGGCTGCCAGGGCACGCTGCTGGCTCAGTCAACTTGCTGTCAACCAGAACCCCCAGATCCCTTTCCACAGAGCTGCTCCCCAGCCTCTTGTCCTCTAGTCTGTGTGTACAGCCAGGGTTGTCTAGTCCCAGGTGCAGAATCTAGCATGTGCCCTTGTTAAACTTCATATTGATGGTGATTGCCTAGTTCTCTAATTTGTTAAGATCTTTCTGCAAGGCTTCTCTACCTTTAAGGGAGTCAACACCTCCCAGTTTAGTGTTGTCCACAAACTTAGTATACCTTGAAGTCCTACATCCAAGTTGTTTAACCTATTGAGCCAAACCCATCAGCTGTTTGTTCACCCATTGTATTACCTGTTTATCTAGCTGTATGGTGGACATTTTGTCCAGAAAGCTACTGTGGAGAAACAGTATCAAAAGCTTTACTGAAATCCAAAAAGATCACAAGTGGCTTCCCTTGGTCAACCAGGTGGATGACCTTGTCATAAAAGGAAATTAAGTTAATTAAATAGGACTTTCCCTTAGTGACCCCATGCTGGCTGTGACCAATGACCCCCTTGTCTTTCAGGTGTTTTTCAGTAATTTCCAGAATAACGTTCTCCATAATTTTACCAGGCACTGAAGAGAGACTGTCAGGCCTATCATTACCAGGATCTTCTTTCCTACTCTTCTTGGAAATTGGAACGTTTTCCAGCTTCCAGTCAACTGGGACCTCTCCAGATTCCCAAGACCACTGAAAAATAATTGAGAGAGGTCTTGTGATGACATCAGCCAGTTTTCTGAGTACCCTGGGATGAAGCCTAGCAGGTCCCATCAACTCATATGCATCCAGCTGGAGGAGCCAATCCCACACAAGTCCAGGGTTGGTAGGAAATTTCTCATTACCACAGTCTCAATCCTGCAACTCAGGGCTCCACGGGTCCCAGAATCCATCACCAATGTCGAAGACAGAGGCGAAGAAGGCATTAAACATCACTGCTTTGTCTACATCTCTATTTGTGATCTTATTTTCCCAGGAACTATGTATTTAGTTTGTATCCCTCCTCTTTAAAACAAACAAACAAACAAACAAAGGTTGTATTTTCATAGGCATTCATGTCATTTTTCATTATATAATGAAATAAAAGACATTTAAGTGAGATTAATGGTTTGATAAAAACAGAGTAACGTTTAAGCATCGATTTAAATAAGTGCTGTCAGAATAAATTTGTTCTTTAGCTGCATGAAAGCAATCAGCTTTTATCTGAAAGACATTTAACAATTTACTATGTGAAAGAATGCAATCAAAGCTTCATTTCTGGCTTCAAATAATAAATGGTTTTAGTTCCAGCTAACTTTATGTTTGTTTGTTTGTTTTTACTACTGCACAGTTTACAATTATAACATTAAGAGCTGTTTACAGTAGACATCTAATTACAGCAACTAATGCTTGGAATGAGTCTGCTTCATTCTGTTGGCAACAGAGGCTTGCAATTAATATACTTAAATATGAAGGTTTTCAGTTGTAATCTCATTTAGAGAATAAATATACTTTCAGAGTAATGTTTTTCTTTTGGATTTGTTTATTGAACCTGGATTAGGGAGCTGTGGTGCCATTTAGAGCTGTTTATTATCAAAAGGTTTACTGGCAGGCTTGTAATGGTATACATTTGAAAGATTGTTTTAGATATATTGATTGGACCATCTCAGATCAGCTATTAAATGGGACAAATGTGAAACCAGTCAGACCTTCATCTCCAAGATATTACCTGTGCACTGCTGCTGGTTAGGTTGTCTGTGTCTCTATAAGGAACTCAGAAACAGAGAAATTTGCAATCAACACACAAAGCATCTTGATCCCACAACATAAACCTGAGAAAAGAATTCCCCAGCTTTTAATTTTAGCAATAAATATTAAGCACTACAATATCACACCTACCTGAAAAAGCAAGACACCCTTGTTCCCTTAAGATTTTGGTACTTCACACCGTAAGACTAGAGGCACTGAATTTAGTGTTTTATCTGTATTATCTTATCTTAACTTTAGTGTCTTATCTGTATTATCTTTAATTTAATGATTTAATCTATCAAAAGATATTTTTAAAAGCTTGGGAACTTTAACTGATGTTAATATTCCAAGACTTACAACTCAGAATTGGTGACATTTTGAGTCCCCCTGAATTGTTATTAACCAAGTTACTGCTGCCTGCAATATTACAAATGACTGGTAGTATCGTGTGTACCAACTATTTAGCTAATACATCTGGAGGCTCATAAAAGCATCCTTTTTTAATGCCATATGAAAACTGAGGTCCCGCAAAAGGGGCTTCAGCTGAAGTCAAGTCTATGGAACTTAACTGAGGTAATATCCAACCTGTTTTCTTTAAGTAATGATCTGTAAGCACTACCTGAAACATGAAGTTCTACTGTAAATCCTTTAACCTTTATTTTTCATTGTTACATAATAATTTTTACAGTGTATATTTTTTCTCTTTCTGTTTTTCGTTTTACAGAAAAATCTGATACTAATATCAGTTTATCTTTCACAGGGTTAAAAGTATTTTAAATTCATCAAACCACTTCAGCAGCATTAAGGGTACGAAGATTTGCAATATTTGGGAAATACAATTGTAGCACGCTGCAGCAGTTGGTGCTGATCATGAACTCTCCTCAGTTTGTTTAGCTCTAAAAACCCCTCCAACATTTCTGTTCAAAGCTGATGTTTTTCAGTCACACATCTAATAGCCTAACTGCCCAGTGAATGTGCATCCAAACCATACCTAGCCATCTCTATGCTTAAGACAAGTATTGCTGATACTTTCTGGGGTATTTTGTTTGCTTGTTTGTTTTGTTTTTAACCACTATTTTTATAGGTAGTCTAGAAAGGCTTCAAAATACAGCCCTCCTATAAAGTTGCCAACCCAAGCAAGTTGAGAAGCGTGATGATAAATGGCTTTAACGGAGGCTTCAGAGGTGGGTGGGGTAATTAGCTTCTATTTCCTCTCTTGATTAGCTCTTTGCCTCTGTGGAAGAAAACACCCATATGGCTCACAGACTTAAAAACTCCACCTTACAATAAACACAAACATTTATATACGTATGTGTCCCATATATATGTGCCTATTCTATACAGACTATAGAATGTGTGTGTGTGTGTATATATATATATACACATATATACACGCACACACATATATATACACACACACACTACACTTTCTCTCCTTCTCTAGTATTATATATGATCAAATTTTCCTAGCCTGTCTAGTGAAAAGATCTCCACTATTTGCATTAGAGGAAGAAATCTCCCAGATGGCAGCTGCCTTCCCAACACGCACAGCTGCTGCAGATGAGTATACACTGATG